TAGTGTGTGTGTGTGTGTGTGTGTGTGTGTGTGTGTGTGTGTGTGTGTGTGTGTGAACTAATCACCTGGATCATTTCATGTCTCCAACGAACGAGATAATAGTGCAATCAGTGCTGAAAGTAGTTGTTCCATTGCTATCAGATGGCTGTACAGAAATACAATCTGAGAAGCCCATGGGAAAATCAGAAACCCTGTGTAGAGTCCCTCATATGTTTACACAGATCCATTGGAAGGTTTGTGTCCTAAAAGCCTCTCTTGAGTGGCTAGTCTTGAGTGAATAGATGTGGAGTTATGCATCATCTGCATTCTTTTCACCGCGTCTAGGGAAAGATTTAATCTACCAGACAAAGGAATAATGAGATCCAGTGGTTGGAAGCTGACACTCGGCAAATCTAGACTCAAAGCAAGGCCCAAATTCCTAACAGTGAGGACAATTAACCATTGAGACCAGGACAAGGTGGATTCTCCATCTTTTGAAGCCTTTACATCAAAGCTGGATGTCCTCCTAAAACATACGCTCTAGTTCACCTGAACATTACGCTCTGAGCGTGTAGGCCAATTTGAGTCTCTCTCTTTGAAATGATGCAAAAGATGAGGACCACACTAAAAAGACCTTCGATAAACCGTGACTCAATCCCCCTTGGAAGCTTATTTCTGTGCAGTGAAAGGTTGCCCTGGATTTAGGGGCTGGCTCCTTTCCCTTAGAATCAGAATTCTGCTTTCATTCATGTACTTATTGATTTTTGGACTAGGAAAAAGCCAGAGCCGGTGAAAATAACAGAAATTAAGCTACAAACAGGCTGGGAAGGGGAGCTGCTGCAAGAAGCAGAGCAGTTTTCAGTTAATCGACAGGTTCGTTGGCGTGACAGCGACTGGAGAGGAGACTGAGTGATGAAGAAATTCACTCAGAAGGGCCATTTTTCTTATGCTGCAATATTAGACTCCTCTCTAGGCAGTCATGTTCTGAGGAACTCACCTGAAAAGTAGCTGACGCACATAAAGTTGAAGCACTATTCATTTTTGGCTTGTGTCTTTTTCCTAGTCACTCTCCCTAAATCTGGGCTCTGCGTTATGTCCCCCGTCATTCTCACAAGCGCACACAGAGAACAGCTCCCTTCGTACAGTGCCTACTCCTAGAGGGTAGGTTTGTCTTTCTTTTTCAGGTACAGTCCTTCCCCAGTCTGCTTGTGTTCATAGCTAATGCTCTGGGTGAAATCGTGGCTTCATTGAAGTCAATGGTAAAACTCCCGTTGACTTCAATGAGGCAAGAAGTTCATCGATTCTCTGGCAGAAGGAACCAATGTGATCTATATATGGAGATATACCTATCTCATAGAGCTGGAAGGGACCTTGAAAGGTCATCGAGTCCAGGCCCCTGCCTTCACAGTAGGACCAAGTACTGTCCCTGACAAATTTTTGCCCCAGATCCCTAAATGACCCTCTCAAGGATTGAACTCACAACCCAATGCTCAAAGCACTGAGCTATCCCTCCCCCTATCTCATCCGAGCTCCTGCAAAACACCTGCCAAAGAACCTCACCCAGATAGTCCAGCAAAACTTCTCCCTTTACATTGTAGAGCTCAAAGTGCTAAATGAAGGGTGAGTATCATTATCCAATTCTATGGATGGGTAAACTGAGGTGCCCACAACCACTGAGTGAGACAGTAGCAGAACTCAGGTCTTGTCCCAGGCAAGAACCACAGTGGTCCCAGTTGCAAACTCTCAGC